AGATTGGAGGAGGAAGAGGAGGAGAAGTGAAGGGGACTCAGCCAGTTAGGGTGGTGCAGTCGTGCAGTCAACACGGGGAGGTGCAGTGAGACGTGCAGGACGATGCAGGAAGAGAAGAAAGACACATTTAGCACATCAGGGCTGTACCTCGTATCAGACTGCTAATCCCCAGCCGGTTAACAAAAACATTGTCAAGGAGCTCGCTGCCTGTAAAGAGTTCAGCTATCACGTACAGATTGGGTCTGACGGCTCTGGCTGCGTCTAACATGGCCTGGACAACAGACATCACGGACAGGAGAGAGAGAGCTGCTGTTAGCAGGACACGCTCACAGCACGGCTGCAGTGACGTCCTCTCTTTGTATCTTTGTACAGCACGCTTATTATCATATTTGTCACTACAGTTAGGACCGTTAGTGTAGTACAGACGTCCTGACAGTGTTTCACTGAGTCTCACTGATGATACGCATCGAAGCAGATGTCATGTGTACTCGACACGTTTGTAGAACTGAACAGTTCAACGTTCGGCCCCAGTGAGATATCAACATATTTCTAACACGTAAGCCTGAAGAACAACTTCACTACAACACACAGCTAAAGTGTTACACGTGCCCTGGATGTAAACGTAGAATAATTTCATGTGACAGGAAGTGTGATGTGCAGGTGTGACGATACCTCAGCAACGTGTAAAGGTGTGGAGTGGCAGTTGTCCAGACGGACTCCGTGGAAATACTTGGCTGTGATTTGTGTGTATTTCTTCATGTGATCCCACAGGTAGGGACAGTCGTCGGGCGTGTTGCCGTAGCGCAGTTTGACGCTGTCGCCCCAGGCGATCAGCTCCCGACGAATGTACACGCTGGAGCCTTTATGGAGCAGAAGCACCTCAGTACTGACACTTTATTACAGCTCGCAGTAACAGCAGTCACTGACAGGTTAACCCTGGAGAACCAATGGGGTCGGCTCTGACCCCATTGGTTCTCTAGGGAAACCAATGGGGTCAGAGCCGACCCCATTGGTTTTCTAGGGTTAAAGCAGCATCATAAAACCTACCACCTAAATTTCACCTCCATATTCAACATTTACAGTCTTTGAACCACCTTGTGTGGCTCATCCTGTACCTGGTTCAGCAAAGTTCCTGAGTGGATCGTCGCCCATCACCCAACCGTTGTGGGCCAGGAAGTGGCACATCTTGTCTGGCTGGTCCAGCAGCTGCATTTCCTGGTCCAGAGTCATGTCCTGATAGGGGAAGGTGAAATACCTGACCGGAAGATGAAACATGGCGTTATCGCTGCCCGGGTGATGTGAGCGTAGAGCAGCTGTGGACGCTTTGTGTCAGAGCACTTCATGTTAGACATTTGATGGATCCTAGTCAGTGAGGATCAAATGAGCTCAGCTCCACCTCTAACACGTACGTATGGACCATAATAATATCTTAGCATTGTGAAGTGTTCAGCTGACTCTGCTCGTGTCTTTGTGACAGCTTTAGTAAATGTACTGAGTTATTAACACTCTGCCTTCCTCTCATTAGTCAACTTTAAACTGGTGTACCTGGTGACCATTGGGTTGGTCCTGGTGACAGGGCCCAGCCTGGGACCGTGCTCAGCAAGTCGTTCATAGACGATGTTTCCAATAAGACAGTTGACAGCCTGGAGGGACAAAGAAGAAGGTTGTGACAGAGCAAATGACAGATCAGGAAGTTAAAGTTAAATCGTTAAAGACTTTACACGTCACAGAGAAGCTGAAAACAACCACGTATAGAAACGGTCCACACAGGAGCCCAGTGATGGCCACAGTTCATCTTTACAGAGGAGTTCTCTAACAGATGAATAATCTGGAGTTGAGTCAGGTTTCAGAGCTCATCAGGAGGCTGAAGGTCATGAATGACCTTACAGCATGGACTCCCCTCAGTGCAGTGGTCCACACTGCTGACCACATGTTATACAGAGCTGTTAGAGGTGCTGCAGTGGTTGGACCTGAATCACCTGCAGGCTCCTGCTTCATTCAAATGAAAGCGACGTTTCTTGTAAACAGCCACAAACATCTGATACAGGACAGCATGAACCTGCACGCTGAGCCGTGTTCATTCATATTCTTATCAATCATTTCACTTTAATGTGAAAAACTAAATGTTAGGAAACCCCTGGTCTGGTACACCCCGCGGCCCGCTTTAGCTCCGCCCCTGTTTGCAGCGGCCCCCTTTAGCTCCGCCCGTTTGCAGCGGCCCCCTTTAGCTCCGCCCCTGTTTGCAGCGGCCCCCTTTAGCTCCGCCCCTGTTTGCAGCGGGGTGACGCTGCTGTCAGCGTTCAGCATGCCGTCTGTATCAGACCAACTTCACCAAGTTAAGTGTAACTTGTGCAAACAGCGGTGGATGGAGCAGCTTCACGTGTTGAACAGGTGCTTTGAAGGACAACTACCAGCTTTATGTGAAGCTTTTAATGGTGATTACTGGTCACAGCTCCGCCTCCTCGTCACGGCGTGTCCTCAGACTCCAAGTTAAAGTGACAGCATCGTCACCTGGGGCTGCACTGGCCCGATGCTGACCGACAGACGGACATTAACTCACAGGTTAACACCTGTCGATGCTTTTCCCCTCTAACAGGTCAGGTGTGGCAGCCTTACCTGCTCCTGATGCTGGTGCACGAGGTGATGCTGCTCTGCGTTCAGGTCAGTCAGTTTCTGATTTAGCCACCCGCAGCACTCCTCGATGTGTTGAGGTGACGAGCTACAGAGGGAAGCAGCATTACATCACACTGTGTCGCACACAGATACACACTTTACACTGGTCTCAGCGTCACAGAGTCTCATCACATCTGAACAATAGAAACATAACGATGTATTTCTTTAATATTTGTGGTGTAGGCTTTTTCAACCACGCTGTGCTGAGTGATGAGCACGGAGGAACAGGATGTGCTCTCTACAGATGCAAATATCAGCCTTCACAGCAGGTCCTGATTCATTTAATGCTGCACTGACGTTCACACTGAGTCAAAGGGACTGTGTGACCTCAGCTGAACGACTGGAAACCAAACAAACATCATATTTAAGAACAAGTTCTTTCACACTCTGGACGATCGTGCATGGGTCTGACATGTAGCTGTACCCACACACGGTGTCAGATTAGCTGAATGTTAATGCTAACATGCAAGGACAGGAAGCTGCTGCTTTTACCCACACAGGTCCACACCTGTGCAGGTTAACATTGGTCTAATCAGGTGGTGATGTCACCTGACATTGCATGTTTAAGACTTCCTGTTGCAGCTCTAATGTGATGGCTGCGTAACATCGTCGAGCCAACTGTCAACTGCAGTTTTTACACTTGAGCAATATTTGTCACGTTTTTCTTTAATATTAGACAAAAATAACCATTTAAATACAAAATGCTGTTTCTGAACGATGAGGTAAGAAGACCGACGTGATTTTGAGCTCACTTTGTCAGACAGACATTAAAGTTACGTCTGATTGAACAGGTGTGGCTCGTTAATCAGTTCATTCATTTGATGGGTTTGGACAGTTTCACTTCACCTTAATAAATGTAATCTTAATTTATTAACACTTTTATAAATGCCCACAGTCTTTTATGCCTGTCGGGTGGAAACAGCACATTTACTCATCTTTGTCCAGGATTGAAAACGTGTTTGACTCTGAAAAGTGAAGAAGATGCAGAAAAGAAGAAAAACTCAATCGCAGCTGAACAGCAGCCCAACATCACACTCGTGCTGTGGACGCCGAGTCTCACCTGTGAGGCACGGACGCCTCACCTGTGAGGCACGGACGCCTCACCTGTGAGGCACGGACGCCTCACCTGTGAGGCACGGACGCCTCACCT